TATTGCCCTATACTTCCCCTTTATGAAGACTGAAGGTTACAGGGAAGGGAGTGCTGATAACATGAGCATTCTACTTACTTCGCCACATGACATCGTGACATATTTCAAGGAGGAGATTTAACAAGGCAGAAACTGTAACAAGACAGTCGGTTCTCCTGAATATCCATTTAGAGATACCAAATTCAAAAGGCACTTACTAAATGCTAACCATGTTTGCCTCAGTTGCAGGTACACTCTGAAGTCTGTCTGGAATCCAATATCATAAACAGTGAGGTCAGATCCAGGTATTCCCTTGAGATGATTATACTCCCAGTAACAATGCCAGATGCCTTTAAAGAACAATCAATAAAAAATGAGAGTTTCTGAAGAGTGCAGAGACAGAAGTTAAAAAAAAAAAGTTTTGCAAGCCAACTGTTTTTTCCTCAGCAAAATGTTAGGAAAGCAAAAACCAGAAATGCATTACTATGAGACTAGTGAATAATAAAATCACATCCACATCCATAGAAAAGAAATATCATTACAAGTGAATACAGATGCTAGCAAATACACGTTACTACATCTCATGCTACAGGCCAGTATAGCTGGATTCTTACTAAAATTTTTGCTGCCATTGAGGCCCTTTCCCTTAAATTTTGCCTAAACTATGCACTACTTGTCCCATTTGTGCCATTTAATTCATATAACAACTGATTTTCCTTACCCAAGCTTAAGCTTTAACAAAAAATAGCCTAAAAGGCTAGCAGATTGCACCTACCATATCCTATAATTCCGATCACTCCAAAGATGAAGATCCAGAAAAGGACCCCGGCTGTGAACCTTAATAGCACAAGGAAGAGCAGACTCACAATCATTGCAATGAACAGCCCACTGGGAAGACAGAAAGATAAAGAAAAGAAGTATGAGAACCTTCACTTTCTTGCAACGCCTGTTCCTTCAAATGAGGGTCACTTCATCTCCCATGAGAAGGATTAAAAAAAAAAACATATTTCAAAATCTTTCAAAATGTATTTATGAAATACATCCTCTTGAATATCATCTGCTATTGGAAACCAACAGCTTTCTTATCATAATCTCACAGGATAGAGCCAGAAACATTTGTACAGACTAGGTCCTCAGCTTGGCTGAACGGGACTAGGGCACTGCCTTTGTGGTCATTTACACCAGCTGAAGAACGAACTGCCTTTTTCAGGACATGGTCTAGTCTACAGTACAGCAAGTAAAGTGGAGGACTGTCTGTACAGATGGGGAGCTTACAGTTTTATGTCCTCCATTAAAAATCCCTCCTTGAAAAGAAATAATGTTAATAAATTGTCATTTTAAGAGCTTTCCTAGAAAAAGATAATTAAATTTAGGAAGGAAAAGAGTGACTCTATCTGCCCATCAGAACAGGGAAAGATCAGGGCATTGTGATGCATAGAAAGGAAGTGGTTAGAGCTGACTTTCCTAAGGACACAACGTTACGTCATTGTAACAGGCATCTAGAGCGTCTTCTCTTTCTCTGGTCTGTGGTAAGGAGATAATAATTGTGATTTCACTCCAAGAAAGTAAGTCAGAAAAGGAAAAACAATGACTGCAAAAGGCCATTTTACTCAGTGAGGCTTCCAATCGTAAAGCAATGTGAACAATAATCTCCTCCAATAAACATTCAGCTAAGATGCTTCAGAGAATGTTTCATTTCTCTAAAGTTTTCAGTAGGTGTTGAATCAGAATGTCATATTAGCACAGACTTATAAAACATTTTAAAATCTCTTTTTACATGTGTTCAGTAACTTCTCTTCTGAATGTTCCCAGCTCATTTTGCTTGTTATCCGGTGCAAAATGGATCAGCTTGATCATAATCAACCAAAATCACTAAGAAGTCCAGAGCAAACTAAGCCAGGTAGGCAGAGGACCAAGAAAGAGAAGAACATTAGCTTATTTGGAAATTTTAAACCTTAAATCTTAGCCCTTCAAAGGCTTTCTAGCATGACATACTTTCCCTTCTGAATGACTTGTTTGAAATTTAGAAGATGTTCCTCAAAAATCCCATAGTCCCATAGTTTTGGACCTTACGGCTGCTTAAGTACAGACAATTGCTTAAATTTCCTTTGAGATACAAGAGTCCCTTTAACACCAAAACCAAGTGCACGGTAAGAGCTGTCCTCAATAGACCTGTTGTCTTTAACTGAGGCTTGAAAGCTGCAGTTCTTTTTGGGTATGCTAAAAGGACTAGAAGAGTTCCACAGGTAATTTTTAATCCAGCCTCCTTTGACTATCAGCCCTGCACTGTCATCACCCAAACTCTGGCACAGCAAATGTTTGGCCAGAAATCACTTGATGTACTCTAAAGCAAAGTGTGAAGAAAATTCACTCAAACTACTTCAGAAATAGCACCAAGTCTTTAAAAAGAAATCATATCGGAAGTGTGAAAACTGGCTCTCCATATTTAGAATCTCTGTTCAAAACTGTCACTTCTCTCTCCAGCCTCTTTAGTGACGCCTCCTTTGGAAGAATCTGCACCATAAGCCTGTTCCTACTGATTTCCCTAAGAGATCCGACACAGAACTGAGCCTGCTAAACACCAGTGTGGGTTTCTTGCCACTGACTACTGTGGGCACAAAATCAGACTACGAGAAAGCCATCCTCCCGCCAGTGACTGCAATAGCTTTAAAAGCTGATAACTTGCATTTCTCAACTGATTGTTGGAGCCACTTCTTAATAATTCTGTACATGCAGTTTATTATCTAAAGTTCATAAATTTGTTGTTTTATGAGTGGATTTGCATCCAGAGTTGAATAATGTATGCTTAATATGTGCATGCTCTAGGTTGTAACCGGGCAAAGACTTCTGCTTCTGTTTAAAGTGATCAACATGCTAGTCCATCAATGACGCTATTAACTGGCTAAGAACGCACATATACTTAAGTATTTGCATGGACAGGACAGTTGCTGCTTTTGTTTCAGTGCTGCTTTTTTACTAATTGGTGATTAGTCAGTATTAATTGCAACATAAAGACAAAACCGCTCAAAGCTTTTCATTCTTGCTGTTGCTTTGCCCGCTGCATTGGCAGCAGCAGATTTATGGTGGTTCTAACTATATTTTGCAGGCATGAATTTAGAAATCACCTGTTAGGCATACATACTAATGGGACTTATCAAATGTAATTGGTCTGAAAGTCTCTTAATTGTGATTTGTTTTTGTTTGTTTTGGAATTACCACACAGATGGATGCTACAGTAGAGGACAGAGCCTCCTCCTTTTCTGCCTGGTAAAATATCAAAAACCTGCTTCAGAACAACTGAGACTCTGTGTATGTATGCTGCGCTATCTTTATCTAATGTATAGAACCATGACAGCAATACTATTATGTGATAACAGGAAATTACAGTTGCTCCTTCAGTTTACAAATCGGATCAGTAACAAACACATACATTTTTTTTTTTCATTTCTTGCACGGTCCAAAGTGAGTTTGGAAAAATTACAAATACCTGTTAAAAATCTTACATTAAAATCCAATACCAAGAACTGGCATAATCTTCAAAAATTTTCATTCCAACTGATCTTGCATCCAGGACAATATTGATGCCACTGAAAAAAAAGACAAACAGAAGAAAAGGTTGCTTTGCCTAGGAAAGCAGAGAATTTATTTAAACAACAAATAGGCCAAGTGAAAAAAATTTGAAATATCATTGCTAGTAAGAGGACTGTATTACTATCCTGCAGCTCCAGTTCTATAACAAAGCAAATATCAATTGCAGTTACATCTGTGAAAATCCTGCTAAGTTAGACTCAAACTTTTACCTCGGCTCATTTGTGCCTACCACAGTGCTGGCTTCCCTTACTGGAATTTTGCAGGTGCTCAGGTACAAAGATACCATTTCCTAACAGCTCTGGCCTAGTTACCTTCAGTCATTTGCTACAACAGAGTCTGACTTTTTTTTTTCAATTCCTAAATTAATTCACAAACTCAGAACCCAACAAACAAAAGCAGTGGTGAAGAGTAAAACCTACTTTGCAGCTTCCCTGAGATCAGTTACATTTCTTGTTTTCCCTCTTCCATCCTTGAAGGTAGTCTGATTTGCCACAGTCAGCACACCATTCTTTGTGGAGAAGTCTGGAAAGCATCTCTTAAGAACTATTCAAAATATCAAAAAACAGCACATATATTACATTTAATGTCAAGCTCCACTTCCATCATTTGTACTTTACATCAAATTATTACTTATTTACATTTAAATCATTTCAGATACATAGCCAATTGTTTTTTTGCTTGGTGATCTATTGATATGTTGACTTTGACAGATCTTGGAAGAGCCATTATATTCAAGATGATGATTTTTATGCCTTGGGGCTTTTAGTCCCATGTTGTACAAGTTTAGGCAAGGTGGGATCCTAGCCTTTGACTGGAGACTCCAGGTGCTACTGAATATCAACAGCAGCAACGGTAGCAGTCTAAGAATCTGTAATAAACGCAGAACTTCTCGTCCAGTCAGTGTCTGGGCAGCTTACAAATACTGCAGCTGCTCAGATATGTCATTTGCATGATAATAACCAAACCAGTCTGCAGGGACAGACTCAGTATGACTGGTCATGAATGGTACTAGCCCCCAAAATAACACAAAGCAGCAAGTTGCACTGCCTCCCTATGCCAGATGAGCTGCAGTACCAGCCACTGTCAGTGGGTATTCTTGGAGAGGAGGCAATGGAAAAAATACAGAAACTATTGGTTAGACAGAGGGAGGAGATGATTGTAAAAGAGAGAAAAGGAGACGGTTATGTCCTCGTTTATGTCACCCTGCCCCTGGATGCAAAAAGTCAGGGTTTTCATTCTGAACAGAAGAGGAGGTCAGTCCTCCTACACAGCTGTACATTAGTTTTATATAACAAGGCTGTGCTTTCCTTATCAAATTCCAACAAACACTGATGCCAAGTTTCAATAACCAGTCCCCATTCAGGAAAAATTGGAATATCTACCCCCAGCAATTATTCTGAGGAAATAATTAAGTTACATGTCTCTCTTCCCCGTCCAGTAATCTTTGCACCCTACTGTAACAAGAAGATACTAGATTACTGCAAGTTAACTTTCTGCCTTTTGGGTCAATACATCCATTTTAATAATTTTTTTTAATTGAATCCGTAATTTCTCTTTTTGATGATCTGTCCCTGGTTTATCCGATCTCTGCTTTAAAGCATGAAAAAAAACCCCAGCTCTTTCTCTACATAAGCTTCTGGGCCGGTGACAGATGCTTCCGGTATGACAGTCTTACCGCTGAGATCAGCTCTGAGACCTGTAGTTGCCTATTCAGAGATACCTGCTGACCTTGGCAACAAAAACATCCTTTTGCCCCTTAATGCTTCTGCAAGCCCTGCAGAACCAGCCTGCACCTGAAGAGCACGCTGTGTCGTAAATGGGCTCAAGGATCACCTGAACTCTGGGCAGCTGGCCGTAAGACCCTTCCTGCGCCCCTCATCTTTGCTTGAGGCCAGTGGGGTTGCTTGCTCACAGGCAAGAAGTGACAGGAGGCATCACATACACAAGGCATCATTCAAACTGTAAAGTTTTTGTTGTTAGTGATGACTCATGAGCAAGAAAGAGCTCAGCTTGACCTGATCACAAGCTGAACTTTCATGGCTGGCAGTTAGAAAAAACAAATCTTTGTATTTGCAAGCTGTCTAAAATTGATTTGGCTGTCACTGACAGATAAAAGACAGCTCCTAGTGACCTTGTTACAAAACCACTTTTCAGAGTGGCATTGCGATTTAATGTGAACACTAACACTGTGCTGAGAAAATGTATAAGAAGTAGAGCCACTCACAAGGCCTGCTTGGAATGATCATCGAAGGACAATCTTCATCACGGAGGACTTGAGCAACAGACTGAAAAGGAGAAAAATAGGAATTGGTGAACACACGGCAAAGTAAGTGCTTTTCATTTCTCACTCAGGCTGAGAAAATGTCCCAAACTGGGCTTTGTAGCCTTCTCCCAAACTTGACGGGTATAGCTGCAAGACACATTCATGATGCAAGTGAGAATCCCAATTGCCACATGTGATTTGAGAAAAAATTATTCTTCTTGCTTTTTCTAGTGACAAAGAGGGAAAGATCTGACCACATTGGATCTGCACCTAAACCAGAGGTGACTGGGCAACTGTTCTTTGCCTGCTCTTGAACTTTTCTCTTAAAGAATAACAATTTAACACAAGTAATTCTAGTTGATTTGCAATGTGTTTTAAAGATTGGAGGAGTTTTGCAGTACCTTTGACTGCAAAGCCAGGTTACACCAAAGATGGATTAACTTTCCTAGCTAAGAATATTAACTTAGTAGCTGAGGATGACTCAAAAGCCCTGAGAGGTTGTTTGAGAGATTCTGCTTTACTGGTGTGGAGTACCTAAGTACTGGAGGAGACCACCTTCCACAGTACTGCAATTACACGGGTAACTGCAGATATGCTTTTAAACAAATAGTAACCATTTAAAGATTGGGAGATTGTGCGTGTGCTTATGAGACCTTCAATCTCGATTAAGTCAGTGTGAAATTAAAAAAAAAAAAAACATACACACACACACACACACACACACACACACACACACACGGCACAATTCTTTGTTCGATGAAAACTGGAATAAGTCATTGTTTTGATGTAGCTCAGTAAAACCATGCCTATTACATAATGTTTGAAATAAAAAAAAAACGTATTCCATCACCTATTGATACATACACACCTTGCGAGGATTGTTAAAACCAGGTTTGCAGAACTGCTTGAAGTAATTCCAGTTATCTGGTTTATATCTGTAGGAAGCCTGAACATCTATGTAGGTTGCAAACCTGTCTGGGCACTTTGAGACGCAAAGCTGCAAGAAAAAAAAAATTAAGTAAAGACACACTGGAGGTGGAGAAGGGGAAGGAAAGACAATGCAATCGAAAAGAAGAAAACAAAATGGCCTCCTATAAAAGCGTTCTTTTTTTCGAGACTGCCTGCTGCAATACGTGCTGTAGTATTTAGAAAGGATCACTTTTTTTTTCTTTTAAATCTCTAGATGAACACTTAAAATCCTTTGATAGAACACGCTTTCAGAATCTCTCCTCATGTATGGCGTACCAACACACTCTTTGTATCTTCTTAGGTTCTACATGTTTTGGTAGACATGCACAACTTCAAGTCTGTTGAAAAAAACATTTTTTTGGAGCCCTAGATAAAAAAAATCTATCAGTCCCTCCTCTATCAACTTTCATCAGCAGCAGTGTATACGAGCAAGGTAGTGCAGGAGCTATTTTCACAGGACACATGGCATTTCTATTGTGTTTACAGAGAACTTTATTCAAAAATGTCTCATGCAGCTAAAATCACTTCCCCCCTCCACCCAGTCTCTTCAGTGAAATACATCTCCACTGATGCGGGGGAAGTCAAGTTAGGTTTATATCACTCATATGAAGGCAATTATTTTGCGCCACTGACTAACGATGTAGCTCCCCAGGTTTAAAAGCAGGTGGGGTGCATGCTCCAGGAAGGAAAGTCACATGTCTCCAGGTAAAACCAATACAAACAAGATTTGTATGAGAAATTGGGTGAGGACTGGGGTTTCATGAATGCAGCCACTGCGGTTTTCATTTATGTACCGGAGAAGCAACTGGCCCAGTACATGGACTCGGCAGGCTTTCCTGGCTGCTGAGGTAAGTGGCCGCTGCAGTAAGCCGTGATGTAGGTGTACAGCTATTCTGACCTCTTTAGTGTCCCTGAATTCTGATCAGGGGTGAGCCAGTTTGAAGACCATCTTCTTAGCAGTTGCAACATTTTCTGGAAGGCTGTTTTCTGTTTCCAAAGCCGGGCTGTCCAGACACCCTTTGCAAAGCTCTGCTATCCAGGCACCAGGGAGATATCATGAAAGAAAGTATATTTTACCTCGAGGGCATTCTGCCATATGTCATACACCTGAATGGATTTGGGGAAAAGATCTTGTACTAATCCTTAGAACAGGCTGGATGCTGCAGGAGAGGCTTTCTAGATGAGCACTACAGTTCCATGGACTACCCACAGGCCAAGGAACAAGGAAAAATGAGTTTTGTCCTTATTCAGACATTGGGTGGCTATGAGCGTGCACTTTACTGTAAGCTCAGTTTCCCACCTATGAAATAGGACAATGAAGCGTGCTGCCTATGGGTCCAGTGAACTGTAATAACCCTCTGTAAATCCACAGCCTGACTCTAGAACTGAGGCTTTCTCCATGCTCAGTTCTTGCTTTCTCTCATGAACTATCTGCTGCGAGTGGGACAGGAGTGAAGGACCTTGTCTACAGTTCAGAAGAGGAATTTTCAAACAAAAGTTTGCTCAGCATTTTCACAAAGGACCAGCGAACTAAACAGCTGCAGGAACAAACAGCATTCCAAAAACTGTCTCAGTTTTGGAGAGGCTGTATGCCTGAAAACAGACAAAATAGCAACAGCCCCCTTCAACACTCTCTTCCAACAAGTATTTCACCTTACTTGACTCATGATCAGTGCCAGCTTGAGCAGAGCACCAGATCTCGGTATTTCTGACCTGGCTGCCCTGCCAGCACAGAGGAGCCTAAAGACTGCGGGGTGACAGTACGAGCATGGGCACATGGGGGCTTCCTGAAGCAAATCCACTGCTGACCATGGACGTTTCCATTCTGTTGGCAAGCGACCAGTTTTAAGAGGGTTCCTGCTCTCCGTTGCTGGAGAGTTACATCTCTTCAGCTGTGCCACACACTGCACACAGTCACACTAACTGGTGGGCCAAAAAACATCTGGCAAGGATGGGGATCAGGGCAAGCTGGAATGGGAACCATTTTTAAATGACAGTCAAATAAATAGTCATTTAACATTTGCAATCGGTAAATTGGATCCCACATAGCAGCCCTCATCCAAAGTAACGCTGGACTCCGTCGAACGATGCCGAGATGACTGAGAGCACGCTCTGCTCCCCGCAGCTGAGTTGGACAGCACAACCCCTTCAGCAGCAAGCGGGGCCAGGGCAGCCCTGCCCCTGCCTCCTCTAACCTACCCACGCTGTCATTCGCTGCCTCCGGGGCTGCACTGACCTGACTGCTGGTGCTCACCAAACCAGGACTGTGAAAGGGTCTCAGAGTCGATAGGTCAGGAGGACACTCCTAACCCACGTCAGCTCAGTGACTGCGGTCGCGGCACAGGCAGCTGCAGCACAGCTGAGCGCGCGCGAACTGTGGCATAAGGCAAAAACAAGCTTTCAGATCTTCCCTTTTGAAAGCACTGTATGATCTAACCACACCCAGATACTGCTGTCACTGGGGATATGCACAATTTCTTGAATATGTCTAGTTTGGAAAACCCTCGATGTCAATCAGAATGCTTTTCTGCACACACTTCTTACTACTGGACAGCTGCTTGTGATGGATTCATGAGTAACAAATTGCTGTATCCAACAGATTTTTTTTTCAGCTCTGATCCAAAATACACAATCCTGTGCATTTCCATGTATTTTCCCCTATTTTCTCCTGATCATCACAGGCTACAGATACTATGCACTAAATATGTTATAGATAACATGATCATATCATACTTTGCAGGATATGAACAGCAATTTTTTAAATCCAAAAAAATGTATGTCTAGTTCCTAAGCACCATGACTAAAATACAGGGGAAATGTTTTAGCTCTGTATTTCACTCACCTGTGTTGTAGGGCACTGTAGGTTTATTAACACTGCTGGGCTGGCACATTTCAGAATGTTGAAGTAAAACAAAATGGTCTTGTTCCTACAGAAGTGGATATAAGATAATTTTTTAAGTATGGGCGCTTATACATCCTAGCATACCTAAATTGATAGCATACATTGATATTTTAATTCTATTTTCCTAAACGGTCATCTTGCAAACCCAAGGCAAAAAATAAAACACAGGCAGATGCCGGATGTTCTGTGCCAAGACATCTTTTAAACCAAAGGTATTGGTCCTAAGACATAATAATTTTGAGGCAGTTTTTCCACAGCGTTTGAAACCATCCCCAGGCACTGTTACAGGTATCTGCAATCCCGCCTCTAGAAGTGAAAAGCTACCTTGTAAAACAGCTCTGCAGAGTACTGTGGTCCCTTTGCTTATGCTGAACATAGCCTGTATGTACTGCACACAAAAGTGCTATGAGCAACACCACACTGTGAAAGCTGATTATTTTGTTAATCAGTACCAAAATCAGTCTAGAGCTTTTTGTGGTTGGAAACTCAAAGCAGCTGCCCAGGAAACAGGATGATGACAGTATCTGATAAGAATACTGATAAGCCTCCTTTGATATGAATAAGGGCCAAGCTAGTGTTCCCAGACGGAGGGGTTTTGCCCCAGAATCCACATACTTTGCATCCTCTGAAACTTGGGACCTAGAGGTAGGTGTCACCTCAACTTAGAGTTGTTGAAATGTCATCACCCCAGGATGTCCAGATCTAAACACCTGGGTTTTGAAAAAAGCAAAATATGCTGCTAAACTTTCCTTTGTCAAAAGCCTATCAGCTAGCTCTAGTGACGATGGTACGGCACCAGTCCTGGCCTTTCTACGTGAGGCTTGACAGTCGGCTAGCCACGCCAGGACCGCGCTCTGTCCCTGTAAGGAATCATGGGTCCTCTGCCCGCTGCAGCCCGTCTGCGGCGCGCGGAGGTTTCCGAGCGAGCGCCGAGGCACGCCGGGGCAAGGCAGCACGGGCCGGCAGCGGGGCGCCTGCGCCACCGACGATGCTGGGGCCGGGAGAGCCCGGCTGACGGGGCACAGCTCTGCTCCCGCCTCCCCCTCGGTACTCCCCGACCAGCGACGTATCCTCTGGTCTCCCACCAGCACCTGGCTCCCTTCAACTGCTGAACACGGCTATGTCTTCAAAGTCCATAACACACCATCATCGCGCATCCGCGCTCCCTTTAAAACGGCAGTTAGCTCGACTGCCCTGACATTTTAGAAGGTTAAGATGTTTTCACCGAGATATCTTCTATTACCTACTATTTAACAAAACATACTTCCTGACAAATACAATCTGCAAACAGTAGTTGCTTTTTCAAATCAAGAGAGGAAAATACTGGACTGAAACGTCATCTTTCTTCAACAGTTTCTTCAGAGTATTTATAATCTGTGAGCTGCTCAGCAAAATTCATGTCATTAGTGAATTGTTTTGTTCTGATGGCCCTGCGCACTTGCTGATATTAACAGCAGAGAAGAAAGACTAAACACATATGTAACGCAAGAAAGCAGCCGCAGAGCGGCTATGTTTGTCCTTTATAGACTCGTACCCGTTATAGTTAAATTGTACTGCATTCGGCGATTACATCTGCCTCTGCGGAAGGCAAAACAAGTGCAGAGACTGCATGGAGGTTAATGGGTGGATTACAGCAAGACACAAAGATGCCTAAGAGAAAGTCTTAGGACAACGTAGGATAGAATTACTTTGACTGCACGGAATTCATTGGCGCTCAGCTGGTTTTTGTTTGTCTGTTTGGGGCTTTTTTGCTCGAGCTGTGAATGTTGGCTTGTTTGTTAGCGTCTCTTTTCTGCTACTCAGTGAAATTGCAGAGGATGCTTGCTCCAGACGCAAGATTCAAAATATAGAGACTGCCAACACTTTCCAAGGAAAAGGTTTCGGAGACTGCCTTTGGCGACTCTGAAAACCCGTTGTCCTGGGTCAGCCTTTTACCCTGCTAACTCTCAGGGCCTCTGAAAATCCGCCAGTGGTATCTGTAAAGGTCTGGTGAGCACATCCCACACCTCCATTTTGGGGGACTAGATAGACTTGTTCAGAGGGGCCTCCTGGCAGGCCCTAACGCTAACGCTGCCAGAAGCACTCACTTTTCTGAAAGTTGTCTTGTGTATCTTTTGGCTTATATTTTTATAACAAGCACTTCAAGGGGGCAACTAAGTGTCAAAATGCAGCCTCAATAGTTGTGTTATCCTCCAGCAATCATACATATGGAAAGGCATTTGTGCATGCAAACTGGAGATCATACTGGCAGAACTAAAAGGAAGATGTGATTAATGAAGAGAAAGAGGGAGATGGGGGTGGACGCTGAGAATCAGAGACAGATATCGCTGCCCATCACACTCTGCACGGGTGCTACGTCTGACGCTCCCGCACCCGTTTGCCTGCCGCTTTCCCTGGACCACAGAGGGAACGAGGACAGATCTACGGGGGTGTCAAACATGACACTAAGCTTTTTCTCATAGTTCTTCCTCTTCGTAGAGGAAAAGAACGTAACTCTTTTGGCCTCTCCAAAAATTTATTTGAAGAAGTCCAAGTCAGAGGGTGGAACAGGTCTTCTTAGAGTCTCTATAGTCTTTTTGTTTTCTCTGTAAGAAGAGCTTCAGAGCATGCAAAGCCTTAGCTCTTCCTCCATTCCACTCCCCATCTCCTGCGCCTCCCCTTCTGACCGGCCCTTTGAACACCGGCGTCCTCTGCTCCTTCCCAGAGAACGAAACCGGGAGAGAAATAAGAAGCATCAAAGAGCTGTTTCCCACCACAGGGTGGGTTCTGTTTGCTTCCCGCATACTGTCCAGCTCCATGTCTGAGGCAGGGGCATAGACTGTGTCTCGTACTCGCTATTTAAGAGGGAGAAGGAGAGGAGAAGAAACAAAAATCTTTCTCAAGTTCTGTTTCATAGAAAGTCTGACTTTCAGAGAAAAAAAAAAAATGATGTGACACCTTTCTTGTCTGAGCAGCCATTTTCATCTGCAAGTACTCTATAGATATCAATCAATTTGTTTAATTAATTCTCACAGGCCCAAATGTAAAAGATTGGGAAACTGAGACAAGGAAATAGAGCCACTGGACTGATCTCCCCAGGGACGCGAGGGTTACAGCTGCCTGTCTCCCAGACCACCCGTTCTCCTCTCGGCTGGCACCAGGTAAGCAGCAGAACACAGTAGCTTTCCCTTTCTTTTCCTGCTCTTTTCTGGTATTTGGTGCTTGTTGAGAAAAACTGAGAACCAGGCTGCAATGCTTTAGGATTACTCTTACCCTGGGGAGGACAGAAGGATTTCCCCAAGGGATAGTTAAACGTCCTAAGCTCTGCAGCTAGAAGCTGTGCCACCTAGTCACTCTCTGTGTAATTAGCGATGCAGTCTTTAAGTTATATTGATATTTTATTTATTTATTGATATTTAAGTTTTATTCATCTTTTACTGGAAGTAGTCTCCCAATAATGAAAATAACTGCATTACAGTGTCTAGATTTGCACTGCATTTGTCTGCATTACTTGTGTCTAGATTTGCACCGAGCAACTAAGCTATTTCTGAACCTTTTTTGGAATAAATACAGTAAGAGGAAGACAAGTGTTGCTGCCTCTTCAGCTTCCCACAAGAGCCCCGAGCAGACAGAGGATTTGAAACCTCACTTCTTATCCATAGTGCATGAGTAATAAAGGTAGGTGAATGGATTTAGTACTCACTCATTGAGGGTATCTTTTTGACCACAGAACTGCCCATAGCTGTCAGTTGGATAAACCACTTTCCTGGGGTCGCCATGCACACAAGCTGCAAATATATATATATATATATCTTTTAGCATTTTAGTCAAGCATCCAGCAGTAGCTTGCTAATAGTTGACATTCACTAGCATGAAAATGTATCACCTCTCATGTACCATTTTAATCTTTCTCGGTGGCCACTGAAGAGTATTGATTTTCCCTAAACAGTAGATTCCTTAATGAAAGAAATAAAATGAAGTAAAATAAATAAGAATAAAATATGGATGAATCAGTAAGAAAGTAAGCCAGTTCACTTTTTACCTTCAGGACACATATCTGGGTTGTATCCAAAATATGAGGTAATGGACTGAGAAACTAATGGATATTAAAATGGGAAAGAAGAGCTCTGCTGGCTTGCACTCACAGAGGAACATGGCGCTAACTATGCAGACAAACCTGAGCAGTCACAAGCGCTCACAATTGCACCGACATGAGTAGGTTTACCTGGGTGTGTGACAGACAACACACGGGGTGTGACTGACTCTAACGGACTCCAGCTGCATTAGAAATGGAAACAACCTCTCCCTTGGTAAATTAAAACATTAAAACAAAATATAACTCCACATCAATACCCTGTGCTGACACTTAAAATCAGATTTGCTAGAGGACTATCATAAAACACTGTTGATGCTCTCCCAACCATTTCCTTGTGCTTATATTTTGTGGAGACGATTATAGGCATTACAAAGATTTTAGTCCCAACCTTTGCTTTCTTGCACTATGCACCAACTGTCAGGAGCCACTTAGCATACACTCAAGGCTTTGATCTATGCAAACCACCTTGAACTTACATTCTCTGTAATGACCCCCATTTGCTCTCAACTTTGTGGCATTAAATTTAGCCAATTGTGAAACCATCATTTTCCTCAATGTCACTTTGGTGACAGCAGCACTTAAGATTATGACATTAACAGCTGCAGCGGAGACAGAACCTATATAAGCCCTCCGAGCGGCATTTTGCAATTCTAGCTGTATGGTGGTTGGCCCCGACACGTATCATATCTTGAATAAATTGCCAATAACTACACTACTATCCACCTACACAGGATCTGTAATGCCACCTTTCACCTTGAACTGTTTTAGGTTACCAAAATGAATCCTTGTTCATGTTAATAAATCTTAGTTTTACTGTGTTTTGGGGTTTGTAAATTAACCTGCTGCTTAGTATCAAACACTTTCTGAACATTCAGATTAACTGTATTTCAGATTAATTGCGTTCCTCTGATGCTCACAGAAAGCTAAAATGCTTCACCCGTACGAAACCCATTAACTTATTTCATTAGCTTTACTTAACAGGAACCTTTAGGAGGTGTCATCTTTCTTCTACAAATTCCTATAGCCAGTTGATTACTCACTTACACACGTGTACAGGAATTCAGAGAGCAGATAACTCTTTGCTGATTGCACCGAGGCTGTAGGTTATACCCCGTACAATATCTTCCATCATTACTCTGACAACAGGGAGTTTTCCTTTCACTTTAATAGTACCTTGCTTTCTGCACACTTAAAAACCTTGGCCAAATGGATACAGACCAGAAAGGCCTTCGGGCCCTGTTTTTTCAAAGGAATTTGGCAAATTATTAAAAGGACTCATTTTTCTCATTTGAGTGTATTTTTTCTAACACCAGCACAACAGGAAGCAGTAAAGATAAACTCCATCATGTCAGATTTAAAGCGCTGATGAGAATCAGCAAATCTTATATCTGCTTTCTATAGAAAATTTGGAAGTAGCTCCTACTGCCAACAATACCCTTTCCCTAGGTGGCATGTTAAATCTGGAGTTATTTTTCCCTCCTCAGAAAAACCTGGAGAAAAGGAGGAAAACATTGCAAAATAATGTTGTTTACTATCTATCATCTCAGATGTTCACTTGGACGCAGAGTAACCTGTTATTTAGGATCTTTCCTTTGGAATGGCCGTATAACTCAGGCTTATGTCCCTCAGTCTGTTTGGGTGGACTAAAACAGCCATCAAGAATAAAACTTAGCTCATGAAATAAGGAGAGTAGTGTATTAGCCTCATATTCTTTTCACTCTAATACAAAGTCTGCTGAAATCTTTCAAAAGGCTCTCTTGGTTTCACTGGGTTCGTATTACTCCTTGATCTCATAAAGAGTCATCGTTCATCTTTTGCAGTGTGTTTCCCAGTGATTAGTAGAAATTAGTGAAGCGCAAACGCTGGAGCGGTCTGCTCCCTCCTTTGTCCTGCAGCTTCTCAACAGTATTTCTGTTCCGTACAGACTGTACTTGCTTTGCCCTTATCAAATTGCCCACAGCCACCCTTGCTTGGTAGTCGTTGTCCTGTGTGCCTCAGGCTTCAGTCACGTTGAGGCAATAAAACAGTATTAAAAAGAATCTGCTTTGAAAAAAGAGATTTAACACATTTTTCTCTGTGAAATTCCATGACTGGGATCAGCGGCTGGGTGGAGGCAGGAAGGGGCCTCTCCACTAAACTGCAAAGTGGAACCAGGGAGAATTGGTCTGCTTTAGACCATATAGACTTAGCATTTGATTAACTCTGCAGCAAAAAAAGAGAAGGGAAATGACCAACAGAAGAGAAAATATGCAGCTTCTTTCTTTGCCTGTGCCAGGGCTAAGCAGCAACATTACTCAACTCCCACCTCTGTTCCTTTCTTTGCAAACTTAGGACAACGACAGCGGAAGAATCCATATGATAAATGCACCTTCTTTCCAGCCCAGTCAGTGAAGAACGGTACCTAATTCGACAGCTCTCACTGAGGGAACAAGGTTATCACGACAGGGCAGCACCGTGTTTTCTTGGTTGTACTGCGCTACTGGTGACCCAGTACCAAGAACCAAATGAAATGGCATCGAGTCAGAGAGAGTTTTTACGCCAGCATGTTCCATTGCGCATAAGGCTGCGGTCAGAGTGCTGACACAGGCATCTGGGCTACACAAGAAAATTACAGAGCAGCTCAACCGTGTGAGCGAGGCCTCAGAGCAGCCGTGGGACAGCATATGACACCAATACAGCATTTGACAGGGATCCTCTATCAGGAGGCCCGTAATTATGTCATCGTGCTTTTACTGATGTGAAATGAACACACATGGACAGCATCAAAAATAGCTAATGTCAGTCATCTAAACGCTCATCAGATGCATTCCTGTTCTCCTGTGCTGTAGCTGCATCAGGGGTTACAAAGGCTAGAAAGCTCTCTGGTGAGGAACAAACATGATTAGAACAAGGGCACCCACTGATACTTAATAAAAATTAACTACAAATCTGTTTAGACTGTCTGTCTCATTCTCTCTACAGTGTATTTTTGAAAGTGCAGGTTTTCATATCATTACTTTGCTTCCCTTAAAAGTATATTTTTAATGTTTTAATGTGTGGAGAAACAGGCCAGCCAAATTGTGCTTATGGCTTTTTAACACAAGCAATTTACTAAAGCACCGAAGCAGAGAGTACAACATATGATACTGAATTTGTACATCCACGTCGATGGTACTGCTGTTGCACAAACATCGCTTGGAGCAAGACTACACCCAGTTCTGTATGGAAAAATAATACTGTTCACCACTTCAGGGGCGATCTCCCAAGGCAGAGATTAGTCCTCAGTTATACACCTACAAATAAATCAAGTGCTTTATGAAAGGAAGGATTTCACAGCTAGAGTTATGAAAGCACAGAAAATTGCATGAAGAGCAATGTACATTGTCATCAAAAAATTTACATGATCTCAAGTCCTCGTTTAGGATTGAATCCATCAAGCATTTTTTATAAAAACAGAGTAACGCTAAAATGGAAGAACAATCTCTAATCATGATGAAAATCCTTGAATATAAGGTACTACAAGCTGAAGAGATGGTTTACTGATCACCACTCATGATTATAACTCCTTAGCATAGTTAAGTACACTTTAGGATAAAACCCCCACATTGTTCTTTCAATGTACAGGTCAGCACGGGAGCAGTCTGGCAGTGCACGCTGTAAAGCCGCGTTCTGAAGACAGACGCCACATGCACTGAAGCCGCCGATTAAGAGCTCGGTGTTGGGAGGGAAAAGTCATTTCTCCTTGTACACAAAGCTCTTCAAGAGGTCATGATCTAGTTCATACATGAACTGGAGAGTTCAGGGCTGGACCTACATCACACCAAATGTTATTAATTGAATTAATCTGTCCTTTGAAGTGCGAGGCTCTTTTCTAAGATAACTTACTAGCTGCCTTTTTACATGCATTTTACTGAATTAAAACCATCTTAAATTAGAGACTAAACTTTTTTTAAAGTATCCCCTTGATAAGCCCAGTGTCTGTGAAATAAATATACGAAGAGCTAAGTTAGTCAGTTCCATAAGAAACAAAACTACACTGAATTTTAAATTGGCACTATTCATTCATCTGTAAAGTTAAAATAATGACAGCAAAGAATAATTCATGCAATAAGTATGTCTATTCAGTACAGTCATTCAACAGCAGCCATCGCTGAAGCAGGACTGAGAAAGGCTATTACCATAAATCATTGCGTTTGATCTTTCAAGGAGACCACACCTTGAAAGATCCACCTTTTACTGCAGATGGCATTCACTACACCTTTTACTCAGACTACATTTCATCGGTCCTGAAACGTAATGAAACAAATCTTACCCCACTGTTACATAGACTCACATACAGCTGACGCCTATGGGAGCTATACATACACAGATAACTGAGAGCAAAATTTGACCCAGATTTTCAGGTGCAGCAGTTTTGTGTGGTGAGCCTGAGTTTATGCCTTATGTCTCCAGTCAAATCAAATGGGGATGCAGAAGGCTGTTCATACATATTCAAGAAACTGGAGGAATCTACTTTTTATCGTTTCTCTAATAAGCCAATGGACAGGAGATACCTCAGGCATAATTCATGTCTAAGGATTGACTTGTAATCTATCTACTCCCGATGTGAACTTTATTGACACTCATGCATTTGGAGCAGGGCTAGACCTTGGAACTGGACCAAAGCAAATCGCATCTTTTACCTAGAAATAAACTAGAGTAAAAAGAACAGATGAAAAGCAGGGACCACAGGGTTTTGGATCTGAACTAAAAGTTTTTAGATGAAGAACCCAAGCCTTCCCTCTAAGAAGGGTAGAAGCGGCTAGCTACAACTTTGGGATCTAGTTCCAGGGATAGACTCTAGTTCTGGCCAACATTTCAGAAGGTTTGCAGCAGAAGGCTGTTTAGAAAGCTTGTTTGTAGCAGGATACTGCTGCACGAAGCAGAGCAGGGGATATGACCGAGTCAGTCTCACACCACAGTGAGTGCCTTGTCTGAGATTACAGAGACAAAGAGAGAGGAACGGGCCAGTCTGCTGCTGCTGCTATCAATCTCTACCTCACGCAGTACAGGGTTTTTTTTGGGAAAATGAACATACAGAGGTGACAAAGTTCTAGCCAAAGGATTAAGGGAGATTTATATGGTGCTGGAAGGAGATCCAAGATCTGGCCACGCAAGAATACTGTACAGCTAGAAATTGCCAGCGCTCTCCAGTCTCTCCCTCTGGCCAGATAGCGGCACTCTTGCCTGTCTGCACAGGGGCTGGTCACTAGTCCCAGGAACGTTTGCATGTTCAAGAATAAAATAAATGATCCTCTGATCTGAGCCCAGTCCCTTCAGGTCTGGCCTTGTGTTTAAACAGTGCCAGAAAGAGAGAGCAGAACATCAGTGAGGAATCAGTCGATGGGTGGGAAGAGGACACCAGAGCAATGACCTTGAGGCATGAGATGCTCCCAGCACCAGGTGGGAGGCTTGGCAGGTCTGCAACAGCTGTGCAGTCCACCAGCTGCTGCTGTTTCTCAGGACTAATTTACCTCCTTTTACCTCTTTGGTAATTTACCTCTTTGGTCTACTCCAGAACAGGTTTAGTAAGCAGAAACACATGTTGCATCTACATCCTGACAAGTCCCTCTCCAAACTGAGGAGGCTCAGAGATTGAACAAGAAAAAAAAAATGAATGAGTTTTGAAAAGATATGATTTTTTTTCTACATGCAAGCATCATCAGCCATCTGTCTCTCTGCGATTCACTGCCTAGTGCTGGCTTTGCACCTCCTTGCAATGGTCCTCCGTGCTGCTCTGACCTGCAGGTATATTCTGTTTGCTTCCTTACTTCTCCGACCTTCTGAAGACGTAAAGGTTCATGGAGGGGCAGTAAGGGCAGGTGAATAAGGGAACAAATAAAATACCCACAGGGAATTCCCCGTGCCTGAGAGAGGTGACAGAATTTTCAGCATATGCCCAGTGCTCTGGTCCTGGAGGAAAGGCGAGCGGACTCCAAGCTCCAGTACTGCAGCTTGGAGGATGTTATGCTATGGTACAATTTAGTGGGAGGATGGACTGTCTTCTCAGATATTTATGATTTGCGTTGCTGAAGTTAAATCAGTCTAGCTCAGAGTCATCTTTTGAGGCTCTGAACAGCAAGTCTTCTCAGTACAGAAGAGAAAACAGTATTACAGAATTACAGTGAAAACTAATGGCTTCTCTTACGCCTAAGACAGGGCCAAAATGACCTTTCACAAGTAAATTGAGCAAGTTCAGCCAAATGTGCAGATACACAGTAAGTACACTTTTACAGCATCACTTGTTCTTTCACACAAAGGCATTCAAAGTTCTCGCACACAAGCAAAACAGAATGGATATTACTAACAAATATTCTGATATGCAAACAGCTCTGGATCTCACGATTAAATGCAGCAATCTCTCTGCCTTCTCTGTTCATTCACATAGGTGCTTTTGGTAATAGTTTAAAGAACATAAAGCCTCTTAAAATGGGATGTTTAGCTCTAACTTTTGATGTTGGATTAATGATAAATGAAAGTTTTTTTCTGCTACAGTTACAGTTTATGAAAGCAAAATTATTGAATCATGGCATTTTTACTTGAGCACACTTTGAGTTTTTCATCAGTAAACACATGGTTTTGAACTTCTCCCCACTTACAACAGACTTTGAGTGTTAATTCGTGATTTGTTTCTAGGTAAGGCATTGATTGGAAAGCTTTATGTAGATATATACTAAACAGACATATCAGTTAAACGGAATAATACTCACAGAGTTGCTTCCCCTGTGTGTGAGAAAGCACTACTATACCTTTGTTTACTTACCCACAATTCCTAATGCAATGTAACCCAGAATGACGACTATGAAGATTACACAGCAAATAACATCTGTACAATGCCTAGAGAGAGAAAGGAACATTTTTTTTAAATAAGGTGTCTACTATGACCCTTTGAAAACATTGAGTTCCACAGTGAATTCATCTGAATAGACTGTAAGCATATTTGCATCTGCAGTCAGTATTTTCTGAAGTTTTACTCACAAAACCATGTTTGCGCTGTGAGGCCCTGCTTTCACAGCAAGAGCAGCAAATAAACAGACATGCCTTTTGTATTGTAGACAGCAATAAAAACATATTGAGGAAGAGGTTTAAATATTCTTAAAACAAATACCTTACAACATTGAATGCCCAGAGTGACTTATGGTATAAGCTACTACAGAACAACTGTAACAGTCCCAGCATCTGTCCCTTAAAATTAGCATGAAATATTACGGAAAATGGGTTGAAATTAAGAGTCAACACAGCTTACATACATTGTAAATAGGTTATGAGTGGAAAAATAACAGAGAACAAAAGGAGAAAAGTCTAGATGCGACTACCCTGATCTCTGCACAAAATTCTGATATGGCGGCTTGACCTCATTTAGCACAGCTAAAATATGCTCTACGAAGGGAAAAAGAAAACACATTGTGCAGAGCCATATCTCCTTTTACAGCCATGCAGTCAAAGAACAGCACTCTCCAGTCTGACAACTGAGGCATCGGAGCATTCAATTAAACTACTGTCCTCTATTTGTTGGTCTGAATACTAAGCTCAGGCAGGCACAGGCGTGGAGGTGTGGACCATTAGACTCAATTTTTCAATTCTGCCCACTAGTGTTGAAAGCCCATCTTTAGGCAGCTTGGGGTTTTTTTGCTTTCTGTTTTCAAAGAGTGCTGAGCACTTCTAATTCTTCTAGTTAAAAGTCTAATTCTAGCTCCTCAATGGGTCTATAAAAATCTGAGCCTGAGATGTCTCAAAGTGAGCGCCCAGAAGTCAGTGAGCACTTCTACAGTTATGGGCTTTATCATGCTCGTTTCTGTAGGTTTGTGCATTAAGCCACGGGCTAAGGTTGCAGGGACAGCGTCAAGATCACAAGACAATGCCTTTTCAGATCCATTCTTTTTCCGTGTCTGCCCTTGATGAAGAGTAGTTCTAGGAGTGTAATTAATATGAGACATGACACTCCTAAGAAAAGCGGGTAGCAGAAGGGCACATATATATTTACAGAGGTGATATATTCTTAGGACTCCAGTTACAGATGAGCAATTTTCTCCCTCATAAACTACCTTCACAAGCTCTTGCTTGTAAAGATGCGTGAACACGACCACTCCAGGAGAGCTAATGAGTGCTCCTAGTTGAAGAGGAAGTAAAGGACTGCCTTCACGACCTGAGCAATGCTCAGCTCTCCTCCTGAGTCTACACAAGGAGCCAAGTAGATACTCTCAAGTAAAAGAAATCTTAGACTCCAGACTCAGACTGGTAATTTTAGTGCCTACCATTTTTTCCATTTTCCAATCTATGGTTCCTCTCTTGAACAGCTTTTGTTCTTTAGCATAAAGGAGATAAAGTTGGCAGATCTTTTAAACAACTGGAGAGCTTGAAGAGAAAAATGCTTCCAGGTGAGGAAAAAGCATGATGCATACTTCCTTATACTCCTCTAGAAGGAGTAGCGTTTTAAAATCTCACTGAAAGTAATCCTGAGTGAGGCCAAGCTGGTACAGGGTTCAGGGTCAGTGTGACGGTAATCTAACGAAGGAGACTTGGTTAAAGTAGAAGAAACAACACTGGAACAGCACTGCTCATTTGCCCAGCCCTTGCCTAGAAGCAGTTCTGACCCTGTCTGCTCAAGCTGGGTTCTCATCCCATCGGAGCAGCTTGTAAGCGGCACAATGTTTAATAAAAGATGCCTCATGAGAAATACAGCACCGTAAATCCTTTAATTACAACTCCTATATTCTCAAAAACCTCTTCAATTCCAATCCTCACTGGTCTCATTTTACGATAACTAAATACAATTAAAGGCTATATCCATTTGTGCCAGATGATACTTTATAAAGTTTTGCAGAATTACCATGAACAAGTACTCAGAAACACTTTACCAGAATGCAATATTTTTGGTTTTTTGTAGGGCACAGAATTCTGTACAGTTCCTAGTAAAACTCGTTGTGGCTCCAAGTTTTGCTTTGACATAAATATTAAAAAATTATAAACACTACATAAAACCTTTCTGAGTGGCTTCAGAGGATTTTAAAACAGATCATAGACGCTACTTCTTGTATTGCTTATTTTACTAGATACAAAGGGTGAAACCATGGCTCCATTTAATGTCGATGTTAGCTCAGGTAGCTCACTTACTTTCAGTAAGATCAAAATTTCACTTCATAAACACAAGGATTCACACACATGAGGGAAAAAAATAATTATAAAATATCTTAAATGAATGAATTAAAATAATTCTGTTATGATACAAGGGTATATTGTGAAGTCATTGGGAGTTTCCAAGGTTGCAGGAACCGGAATGATGGAAACCGCCTCTTCCTGAAAGAGAAAGATATCGGAAACTCATGCTTATTACTTAAACCTATTCAGAACGTGTCCAGTCATTATCTGACTGAAATCAGATTTGATGTGAAATTTTTACAACTAAGAATGAGATCTGTTATAGCTTAGCTGCTTTTCCAGTTTGTTTCGGGAAAATGAGGCAGAGGAAAATCACTTAGGAGACTGAACTGTTAAACTGAACCCTAAGGAAGATGGATTAATGGATGTATGGTTTTGAGGTTAGATATTGAAAACATAGCTTATCATACGGGGGTCTATAATGTTTCTTATGGATAGCACTACTATACTCTTATACAATAATTATGTGTGAGAACTCAAACATTAATGAGAAAAAGCACTTACCATTTCCTATGGTATAGATAATGAAAACATTAAAAAATGCTTCTGCTAACAGCAAAGGCTCTATGGACAACCACGCACATAGTAGAATATGGTAACGTGGTAAAAGAGCAATGATCCTATTGCATCATGCCTTAAAGTACAAACAGAACCATGAAATCAATTGAAAACACGTCTGTATTTGAAATTTTGATTTTTTTTTTTTAAGCTACTTTTTCAAATAACCAAGCTCCAGAGTCTGAAGCAAGCCCTGGTGAGTCTAATCATCTATTTGAACACTGCAGCTTCTATAGAGATAGACCACTGATAAAACCACGAGAATCATCTTTTCCAGGTGAGGTAAAAAAATACTTTCATTTGCTTAAGTACACATTTCAGGCTCCCACATCAGATTTTCCTGCCTACTGCTGTCATTTGGCTTAATTTATGGGGCCTGATTTGCTTCCCACTACCTTTCAGAAATGTATTGGCTTCTCTCACCATGGCACACGTGACAGTGTGCGCAAGCAATGCTTTGTGCCTGTGTACTGGAATACTAGCAAATAAATGAATGCTTGACAGATAGCAAAGATAAAATTATCGGCACTGAGTAGCAGTGCAGAGAGGCCTGTTACTCACTAAAAATTCATGCACTTTATGGTTAATGACTATCTAGGACCTATCTCTATTTGGCAGTTTCACACCCCAAGCCTATACAATCTGTCACAAGCGTAATGCTACTCAAGACACTGCACTGGAAAAAATCTACTATGTTTATTAGCTAAACAGGAGTAGCAGTATATTAGCACCTACAAATAGTCTTGAGCCAGGCACCATGCAAACACAGAGCATTTTCTTTGGGGAGCCATTAATGAGTACGACTGAGCTGCACTAGTCCGTACTGGCTCAGTGAGCTGGCATGTTTTAGTTACAGGCACTATGATCCAGCAAGTAGTGTTTAGTTCTGGAAAACACTAAGTCCCAATATTTGCAAATGAAACCTGCAAATAAGAGCCATCTGTAGACACTGCATGCCCAAATCAGAAAGCATAAAACAAGAACTCAAAGAAAAATGCAAGCTTTCCCACTCATTTCAGTTAGTGTACAACACGTTATATTGATATAGACACAATATGTAATCAAACATATATGGACCAATAAAACCCACTAGCAAAAAAAAAATTTTTATTCTACCGATATTTATCTACGGTAGACGCTCAGCATAGTCTAGGACTCTAGCGTAGTCTAAGTAACATCTTTAGCAGTCTATTCACTCTAAAAAACACAAAAGATAATTTAAATATAAAACTTATTATTTCAATATTGATCACAATAAATGAGATTTGCTATGCAGCTCTCTGAAGTGACACATTTGTATTCATGACGAGGTAAAGCTTCTATTGCTAATGAAGCTCAAGACATTATTTCTATTTCTATTTTTTTCAGCCTCTTACAGAAAGTAGCTGGAATACTAATGTTATTCAAATTGCAGGAGAACTCATAAACTGTGCTTTCCAGTCGTGATGGAAAACATGATCTTTGCCTTAACAAAGACATTGAGCTTAAAAGAAGACATAAAACAATTAGAGATAGTCCAGAAGGTAACAATTTGAAGTTTATAAAACATAACCAACAAGAAAAATTCAAGATATTTAGTGAATGAAAAGCAACCTAGAGGTTGTCATACCCTTATGACAGCCTTCAGGTATAGAGAAGACTAACACAAAAAGAAAGGAAATGATCAAAGCTCTAGGTCCATGATGTTCTGACAAGAAAAGGGGGTGGAGGTAGTCTTGGGTTAGCAAAACATTTTCTAATGGCTGGCATAGTGAAGCACTGGAATAGTACTTGAGCGGTTGCTGAGTGCACCGTTAAGGAACGGCTTAGACAGATAAACCTCTGTTCGGAATGGCAGAGATGTACTTGATTCTACTTTGAGGCTGGGGGTTATAACTATGTGATTTTCTAAAAACCCTACTAGCCTTACTTTTCTATGGTTCTATGTTTTCAAAAGTCTTTGTCCTCTTGGGAAGAGGAGCCAGGATCGAAGACAGAGGGAAAAGCAGGTTAGGTGGAAAGATGCTAATTTGCCTGGTATAAAACAGTACTGTATCTGGAGAAGTCAATAAAATTAGCGAAAGTACCTCAAAGCACGCACCTCTCCGGCACAACCCCTGCGCCCAAGATGAGAAGGGATG